ATAATTGGAAAAAATTGGCAATTATAAGAATAAAAATTAATACCCCAAGTTCTTACTTCATGCTAGACTCTCACACAGCCTCATTCTGTACACCAGCCTATGAGGTAGATATTTATTATCTCTGTTCTGCATCTGAGACAGCTGAGAATGAACTGTTAAGTAGACTTCCCAAGTTCACACGGCTGTTAAGAAGCAAGAGTGGAAACTCAAAACAAGGTATGCCTCATGGAAGACAGCCCACAGACATAATGGTCCTAAAATGACTTCACTGAATTGGTGACTGGCACTGGTAGATTGGGAAGTCACATTCATCTCTTTGACTTCAATGCATCTTCTTGATTTTGCAGGATGTGAACATCCCTGATCTCATAAAGCAGCTTGATATCTTGGGCGATAATGGGGTAAGTAATGAATTGATTAAGTATGATAAAGATATGAATGTGCCTAAACAAGAGATAAGAAATACTTACCAGTATATCATGTACGTGAAATAATAGCAAGTGAGACACCATTTTCACTTACAGATGTAGCTCCCTTGGGAGATTCTACAATTTATTAAACAACTTTGCCAAAGGGGATGTTAGGATCTATAGGAGGTAGTAGCAGAAATGGGACCCGGTAGAGTGCTTTTCATGGGCAGGTTTCAGATCTGAATGCTGACCACATCTGCAGTCATTAAAGCTAATTACCATCTGACTGTTGCTCAGAGGCATCCAGTATAAAATTAATCAGTCAGGCATTTGCAAGTGCTGCTAAATACTAGGGTTGCTGGCAGCTCCATAAAAACGAAGGAGAAAGCTATAATCTTTTTTCTTTCTAAAAACTCCTTCTAGACAGGGTCGAGGCATATTAATTCAGTGGGGGATCATTCATTGTGATACTAGCTGAATGATGTATGCAAGTTCAAGGAGTCACTGTTTATTCTGAAAAATTATCAAAGGAGAAAACAAAATCTATGGAATCACATCAAAACAGCTGTGAAGAGTGTTCTTTATTTTATTTAGTTTCTGTTTTTCTCATAAAATAGCTATTAATTAAGTGACACAAAATCAAATCAGAATTAGGGAAATGTAAAAAAAAAGAAAAAGAAATCACACTTGATATGCCTCTTTTAGGTTTTGGATTAACTACTGGGAATTATTACTAAGCAATAGGAATTTGTTAAGCTTTTGTGCATTCATAAAGAGTAGCATCTATGGCATCAGTTATTTTCTGTAGTATAAATATAAATATATTCATCTTATTGCCTTTCTCTTTTATTTTTCACAGAATTTAAGAAATGAAGAACAAGTGGCCATCATTCAGGCCAGTACTGTGCTGTCCCTAGCAGAGAAGGTAGGTAATAAGTCCTATTAACATATCACATCATCTCCATGTCTGGTTTAACATCTAAAGAATAGGGTAGAATATGGAGGACATTCCCTTTGCACAGGACTTTGCATTAATGAATATGTAATAAATGTGACCCAACTCAGACTTAATGAGAATATAAAATGTGTGTGTGTGTGTATATAAATGTTTTTTTTTTTTAAAGTATATACACTGATTTAGGATAATTTTAACCTTGAAGTCCCTAAAAAGTATATAATTCTTGGGGCTAACATGGTGGCTCAGTGGTAGAGCACTGGCCTAGCATGTGTAAGGCACTGGGTTCAATTCTCATTACCACATAAAAATAAATAAATAAAGGTATTGTGTCTATCTACAGCTAAAAAATTGATAATATTTTAAAAAACGTATATTGTTCTTAAAAAGGGGGAACTTCTGGGCTACATTGTTCAATCCATCCTAACTAAGCTGGGAAGCCAGTAAAGAAGGATTTTGTTGAGAGGAGGTAACCTGGAGCACCATTCTTGTCACATTCTTCCTTGGGTGTACACACACATATTGTTCTCCATTGATTCTGTAGCTTGGCGAGGGTTCACTGCAGTCCCATTCAGAAAGCCTCTGTAGGGACTGGCAGGAGAAAAGCAACACTGGTGTGCTCTTGCCCCCTTGTGTCCAACCATGGTAAGTGGCAAGGCAAGGAGAAGAGGAAAGAAAGAAATGGAGAAGCCAGATAACTGATTGTGTTCAGTGCACCTCATTACAAGTGCATACTTGAGAATCACGTGCACACCTTTGGGTAAAATTAGAGTTGTACTGTATACACTCACTGAGGTGCTTTTTAAGTTCTGAGATGCAGAAAAATCTGTTGGAGACTAAATGAAACCAAGCACATATAGTCAGCTTTCTCCAATCTGAAATGAGGGGATTCTACAGGTCAAAATATGTTACTCCAGGGACTGGGACTATATAGCTGATTGGTAGAGCACTTACATAGCACTGGGTTCAATCCTCAGCATCACATAAAAAAGTAAACAAATAAGTTATAAAAATTTTTTAAATATGTTACTCCAAATAGTGATGCAAAAGGGAAAAGGTAGGTGGGAGAAGGGAAGAGCAAGA